AACTTTACCTCGGAACTTAGTCAAAAAAATAAACTCGTATTCTTAGACGTTCTCGTAGAATTCAATAATAACACATTCACCATTATAAAAAAAAAATCACTAGCGGAAACTCCTGGCACATTAATTTTAACGGTGAATGCTCACTTAGATATAAAATAGCAATTAAACAAAATTTCCTAAAGAGAGCACACGATAATTCATCCTCCCGTCTTTTTTTTTTTTTTTTTTTTTTTCTTAAATAACTCAATAATACAAAACAGACGCTATTTAATAATGGTTTTCTTAATTCATCGACCATCAGATAAGGATATTTCTTTCTAAAGTAAGTAATAGCGATACTGAACATACAAATTAGAACAATAGCATTATCATCTTCTACAAAAGCGATGTTAATTATAAGCAAGACAAATTTTCTTTTAGAAATATCATAAAGCAATACACAACCACAGTCGACCTGAACAAGAAAATTAAATTAATTATCTATTACAATTTTAAAAAAAAACAGCTAAACTTGTTATCAAAAATAACAACAGACACTCGAAATCAAAACTACAAAGAGCCGACATTATTTACGAGTTCAAATTCCCCTTAAAGAACTGTGATCCCGATCAAACCAAACTCATAAATAATTACATTGGTTATACTACTCCATGCCTATCAACCCGGTCATAGGTTCATTAGGATCCATTATAACGCACACAAAAACAAGTCACTAAACCCAAAACATGTCCGCTATGTAGACGATTTTTTTTTATTTTAGCGAAAAACAAGAAATTGATAATCTCGAAATCACATTCGAAAAATATCTGTCCTTAAATCAAAGAACATACGACAATGTGGTTAAATTTTAAGGCAGTACATTCAATGCCGAGAGACGAATGTTTAACTCAAATGTCACACCGTACAACATAACGTGAAAGAAGGTTTCAGTATATATATATATATATATATATATATATATATATATATATATATATATATATATATATATATAAAAGTGAACATTGAAGTCAACACTTTGAGGCTACAAGCTGTTTCATGATAGACGCAATCGTCAGGCCATGCGTCTAGCATGAAACAGACTGTCGCCTCTAAGTGTTAACTTCATGTTCACTTTTATATTTACACACGCTCTATCTCTGATATTGAGCACTTTAACCCATAAATATAGTACACCTTAAGACTATATTTCTACATATATATATATATATATATATATATATATATATATATATATATATATATATATAGGTATGATGATAACGAACAATACAATAGAAAAGAGGGCTCACTACAAAGTAAATTACAAAGTAACGCAATATTATTTCTTTAGGAAATTGCATCAAAAATTGCATCAAAAATTGCATCAAAAACATGACGAAAGCTCTACACAATTGCAGTCGTGTTTCGATGCGTATTAAATGCATCTCATCAGGCGTTTGTAAATTACCAGCGAGTGAACAATTTATTTAGATTTAAAAGCAAAATACCTCTTTTACGAAAAAAAAAGAAAAAGTTGGTGGCGCGAGGGGGTATAAGGTTTGTGGGCTTTACTTAGATTAACCAATCTAATATGTCCTACGTTAAATTTAAACTAAGTGAAGAAGCAAAAAAAAATTAAGAAATTATTTTTCATAACATCACTTTCCAAATATGTTTGGCGTTTGAAAGACGTTATATATATATATATATATATATATATATATATATATATATATATATATATATATATATATATATATATATATATATATATATATATGTGTGTGTGTGTGTGTGTGTGTGTGTGTGTGTGTGTGTGTGTGCACGGTGAAGACATGGTGGAGTAATGGACAGCAGCTTGGATTGGGGAATCGGAGAGCCGAGTTCAAATTCTAGTCGAATCCATTACATTCACGTAAGTGAATGTAATGGATTATGTTAGATTCATACCTTTCCCAAGGTATGAATCCAGCTATGGGTAAATAGCAGGACAGACCAGGTTCTCTAGACTTGCATGGCAAATGGTCTACCGCAGAAAGAAATGGCAACCTACTGCGGAAAATAATCTGCCTCGTCAATCATGTTCGAAAGGTACATAATCGCTTAAGCGTGTATCACGCATGACACATAAATGACTAACTGATATATATATATATATATATATATATATATATATAAGGATACCCGTCTAGTAGGGAGGCTAACCAATCCCTATTGCAGACTCTCGCTTAGGCACATTTGTGTTTGTTCAACACCCGCAGAGCCAACCTGTGGTTTATACTACAACTATGCTGAGCAGACTTTAAGTACAGTTTCTGGGAGAGATCGTGTTATCTAGCGTGATCAACAATCTGAACAAGGCGAATCCAGCACAATCAAAACCTCGGTCACGATGACTTGTGACTTCGTGCTGGCACAGCTATCGACGGCCACCATATATATATATATATATATATATATATATATATATATATAGAGAGAGAGAGAGAGAGAGAGATGTAGTTGGATAAAAAATACTGTTTAATTAAAAAACAGGGTTTCTACTTGCATATGAGTATCCATCCAAAATAATGTTTAAACAAAATGAGAGAGGGAGAGTGTTGATAACTGATAAACATCCACTTTCTGAAAGGATTTGGCCCATAATAGAAGAATTAGCTGAATTTAGCACAATCAATTAAACCTTGATTTAATCTAGATTGTTATCGTCCTGCTGTTCATGTCTTGGAATTGCTTTCAACATTATCCATCTAATATAAAGCCTCAGTACCAATCAAGATAAGGGTTTCTAAATAAAAGTTGTATTATGCGGGACCAAGTGTTTCATACTCTAAAAATATGCCGGATAGATAAAGGCTGATTTTCAATTTGAAGAGGTTAATATTATACTGACCAGAAAAAAATCCTCTCATGAATATAACACATTGGAACAGTTCTTGGGAACAAGCTGAGTGGAACTTTCTTCTTATCGAAGGAATATGAATTGAATGGGATTGTCTCCCCAGTTTCGTGGCATGGTGGGTCCTAGCTGTGAAGGTCTGAACTGGTCGAATGTAGTTCGTCTGAACATACAAAATAACAGCGAGAACCTAGCAACATTTAGTCTGTGGGAAAGGGTTTAAAGGGGGTGAAACAACTCATTACCCACACGGCTGCGCTACACTTCGGAGCTCGGTCAAGTTTTGGCAATGTCTGTTGGGACGCTCTTGGAAAATTGGATGAATTTTACTTTAATCATAGGAAGAAGGCCAACGAGTCAAAGTTGAAACATTATGAAAATAACAACTAAGCTGAGGATATTAGTCCTTATATAAATAATTATAGATATTATTTTAATCATTTCACCTCCAGCAAGGTAATAAAGCCACTAAGATGCAAGCGGTTAATGAGTGTAAGAGAATATGAGAAAAAATACTATTAAGGAGAGAGAACAATAAAAGAACAAGAATTAATAAAATATTAGATAACGATTGACTTTGTAATTAACATTTTGAAGATAAAGTTGACTCAGGAGAAATAAGTCGGAATAGAGTTCCACAATCGAATAATGTGACATAAGAAATGATTTGCATAGAACTTACAGATAAATCTAACCATTTCAGCTGTAAAATTCCAGGTATTCAGGTAAGAGCTTAGCTTAGATACAATTGTGCGGTAATCATAAACAATTGATCCCAACACACTCGCCTTCTAGATTAGCTCGTTAACCATAACTAAATTAGAATATGTTCTGGTCACTTTTTTATAAAACTTAACTAACGGGATATCTTTCCTCCTTTGTGGAAATGAATGCTAGAAAATCACCTCAAAGTAAATGTGGCTCTAGAGAAGGATGCTGAGGATACCATGGACGGAATATGTGAGCAAATGGAAAAAAAGGAAACATACTTAACATCAGGAAGAGGCAGTTGGAATTTCTAGAGCACATAATGAGGAAAGAGGGTTTGGAAAATCTGATACTCACAGGACAGATTGAAGGCAAGAGAAATACATGACCTACTTAGCGAGCTTGAGTAAATGGATGGTGGAATAAGATTTAGGAGAAATAACAAAAAGACAAAATATATTAAGAGCTACAAAGGATAGGAAATTGTGGAGAGCCATGATTACCTGCTCCCTGAGAGGACACAGCACATAAAGAAAAAGAAGTATTAGCAGAAGTAATTCCACAAATAATAGCAGAGTCTTAAAAATATCTTTATTAAAAGAGACAGCAATCGAATTCTTTAGAATTGTCATGCAGAATATCAAGAGAACGTTTTCTTTTTAAACTAACCTCATATCCAAAAACTAAGCAGAATATTAAGAAACAGAAAAAAAAATTGTTAGAAACTAAGAAAAGAGTATTAAACTGTTATGTGATATTTGTCCTCGTATACGGCAGTAAATTCAGGAGAATCTTCTCAAAGATGAAGAAGAGACTTAAAGCAACAGAAACGTGGTACTACAGAAGAATGCTGAGGATACCATAGACTGATCATGTGAACAATGATGAAGTTTTAGAAAAAAAGGAAACATACTTAACATCAGGAAAAAGCAGTTGAAATTTCTATGGTACCTAATGAGGGAAGAGGGTTTGGAAAATCTGATACTCACAGGACAGATTGAAGGCAAGAGGGACAGAGGAAATCAACGTCTAACCTACTTAGAGAACTTTAGGAGAAATAAGAGAACACAATTTATTGAGAGCTACGAAGGACAGGAAATTGTGGAGAGACATGATCACCAATGTCCTGAAGGAACACGTAACATAAAGAAGAAGTTTGATACAAGATATGCATTTATCGCGATCCCATTAGATACAGACTAAACGAGATAATTGTTCTTCAGCATGAAATAGTCCGCAGTTGTTTCAGAAAACAACACCTCCATCTTATATCATATATTCATTAGACACTTCTGCGCGCCATTTCCTCTTATCTATTCTGGGGTGAATAAGTTAGTCACGTGATTGACCGGTCAGTTTTTCGCGGCTTGAAGTTTCTCTTATCGATTTACCACAAATCTTTACTTGTGACCGAGATCGCTGCAAGGGCTATTGGAGCATCTGCTCTCTTCAGCAGAGTTATGACCTCCATGTCGACAATGAATGCATGCATTCGATTACTGAGCGTCGGGAAAGAAAATGGCGGACTCTTGCGCATCTGCGATTTCGCCTTTTCTCATACTTAGAAATTGGGGTGTGGAGACCGGCGGAATCACATGTTTTATACGCAGGCATCCAGAATATTGCACCACGATAATCGGAGAATTCCGTCTTAGATCGTATTTTCCATCTTTTGCCTCGGACTTTCTTTTTCTTTCTCCTCTTGCTTGATATCGCTTTCTCATCGATGTGACATGGCTACCCTCTGCCTGTTCTACAAATATTTTCATGGTGACCGCTCACTTGCTACTAGATTGGTAATTAGGTCTCATCGTTTTACTATTGAAATAGTTAAATGCAAACGTCATTTCTATTCTTACAGTTTTTTTTTGGGGGGGGGTGCCTCGTGCTTCCCACCTGTGTATCTGTTTTCCGATGTCTTGCTTCCTTGATATCTACAATCTTCAAAAATTTTAAATGCTACGTAAATAACCATCTTCTGTCTTCTTTGCCCTTTCCTCAATCCTCTCTAATTTTAATCTTCTCATTTTCGTCCAATTTCATTCCCTTTACTGTAACACTTTGAGCCCTAGTGGCATTATTGCCTTGCTTGGGGTGAAATGATTAAAAAAAAGGATCTTTTCGATTAAATTATTTCTAAGGAAGGTTTTCTATAATTACGTTGTTTTTCTTCTGTCTTTTTAGTTTCGATAATTCAAATTTTCCTTTTGTTAAATTCTATTGTCGTCTAAATTCATATTCTTCCTTTATTCTTTCTTTTACAAGGTCTCTCGTCGTTAATAAGCATCACTACCTTTCTTTACGATCATTCTTTCTTTGCCCACTCACTATTTTCTTTTATACTCATCTCTTCCTGTCCTGTATTTTGTTCTTTCTTTTACAGGTTACGTTTCTTTTACACGACATCTTCATTTATATGTTCTTTATTTTTTTCAGTCTTTCTCTCTAAATCTTCTTTTCTTTTTTCTTTCTTTTACACAAATATATTTCTTTCTATTTCCCTTCGTTCTTTCTTTCTTACTTCCTTTTGTTTTTCTTTCTCTTGAACAACTATATTTGCTTCTATTTTACTTTCTTCCTTCATTTTCATTTCTTTCTTTTATATAACATCGTTTCTATTTTCTTTACTTCTTTTACACAGATATATTCCTTTCTCTTTTACTTTCTTTCTTTCACTCAAATAATTCCCTTTATATTTTCCTTCTTTATTTCTTTTTTCTTTCTTTCTTTCTTACTTCCTTCTTTTCTTTCTTTTACACAAATTAATTCGAATCTATTTTACTTCCTTTCTTTCTTTTACACTAATAAATTGGTTTCAGATTTCTTTCTTTCTTTCTTTATTCCTTTTTATTTTATTTCTTTTATTGTTACTTTTTTTTCATATATTCATTCTCTATTCATTCTTTTTATATTTTATCTTGCTTTCATATGTTCATTTTCATTTTTTTTTATTTTTTCTTCTTCTTTCCTTCTTCCTATCTTCCTTTCATATGCCTATTATGTATTCAATCTTTTTATTATATTTTTTTTATTTTTACATATATTCATTCTCGATTCATTCTTTCTTCTTTCTTTCACACGTTCATTGTCTATTAATTTTTTTTTTCTTTCTTTTATATATTCATTCTCCATAATTTTTTTCTTTCTTTGTTTCTTTCGTATTCATTCTTTATTCATTCTTTATTTACTTTCTTTCTTTCATACGTTCGGTCTCGCCTCATTTTTTTATTTTCTTCTTTCTTTTTTCTTTTTTGTGTTCATTCTCGATTCATCTTTCTTTCTTTCTTTTTTTCATATGTTCATTCTCGATTCATTCATTTTATATTCTTTTTCCGTTCTTTCATTCTTTATTTCATTCTTTTTATTTTCTTTCTTTTTTTCTTTTTTCTTTCATTCTTATTCTTTATTCATTGTTTTTATTGTCTTTGGTTTTCGTTTATTTATTTTATTTTTTGTTTCTTTCTTTCTTTCTTTCTTTCATTTGTCCATTCTCTATTCAGTTTTTTTTTTTCTGTCTTTCTTTCATATATTCATTCTCGATCCATTATTTTTCTTTTCTTTCTTTTTTCTTTATTTCTTTCGTATGTTCATTCTCGATTCATTCTTTTTTATTTTCTTTCGTATTTCTTTCTCTCTTCCTTTCGTATGTTCATTCTCGATTCATTATTTTTATTTTCTTTATTTCTCTCTTTCTTTCATATGTTCATTCTCGATTCATTCTTTTTTATTTTCTTTCGTATTTCTTTCTTTCTTTCATATGTTTATTCTCGATTCATTGTTTTTCCTTCTTTCTTTCTCTCTTTCTTTCGTATATTTATTCTCTATTCATTCTTTTTTATTTATTTCTTCTTTCTTTCTCTCTTTCTTTCGTATATTTATTCTCTATTCATTCTTTTTTATTTATTTCTTCTTTCTTTCTCTCTTTCTTTCGTATGTTCATTCTCGATTCATTCTTCTTTCTTTCTTTCTTTTTTCTTTCTTTCTTTCTTTCTTTCTGTTTCGCTGTTATTTTCCTCGACTACATTTTCCATGTTTTTGCTTTTTTTATCGTTTAAATTCGTTTTGTCGCTGTTATGATGTAAAATTCTTCTGGCTCGTTGTCATCTTTTTATTCTCTTTCTCTTTCTCTTTCTCTTTCTTTCTCTTTCTCTTCCTCTTTCCTTTCTCCTCTTCGTTGTTCTTTTTTTCTCTTTCTTTCGTTCTTCTTTTCTTTTTTGTTATTCTTTGATTCATATTTTTCCATCGTCTTTCCAATGTTAACTGTCCAACAATTACTTTTTTTTTCTTTTTTTACTCCTTTCTTTCCTCTTAATTTCGACTAAACAATCCTCTTTCCCTTCTTCCATTCCCTCTCTCTCTCTCTCTCTCTATCTATCTATCTATCTATCTATCTATCAATTTTCTTTATTCGGATTCTTTTACCTTTTTCTCTTTTACCAAATATAATTCTCCTTTTTATCCTTCCATGTATATCATTGGATTTTCGCATGTTTAAACATCTCTCTACTTTTCTTTTCTTTTTTGTCTGTTTCAATGAATTCTTTCTGTTCACTTAGACCCGTGATGTCAGTAGATATTTATTCCATCACGAAACTGCCACAAGACACGCTGATTCCCTTGGATAAGTGCGCAAATCGGCAGTGTGCCAATATTTCACTGTCTACTTTGTTACTATCGATAAGAGTTTCCCACCTTTGGTGTCAGGGAAACAGAATGAATAAATGCGACGACGAATCGTAGGTTGCAGCCAACGGTTTAGCACCATTTCAGCAAACGTATTGGTTACATTTCGTTTGATTGAAAAAGGGAAATCTTGGCAGCCATTTTTTTTTTTTTTTTACTTTTACTTAATACCGACCTATCAAGATATATGGATAGTGGCTCGAATTGACGAAAATGCATTATAAGAATGGGAATCTATCGAGGGATTCCTGCATTTGCACATAACTGAATGTAATAATCTCGACTTGGTTCTCGGAGAACCAAGTTGACAAAACGAAGCAATGAAACAATGATTAGTTACACCGAAATACATAGACAACGAATCAATCAATGAAATACTGATTAGCTACACAGGCATATGGCTTTTAGATTTATTTAAATTCATAGAAATATACCTGTATAAAAACTAAAAACCACAAAGTAAGGGATCATTTTATATACCGATTGTAATATAGAATTGATCCCCCACTTCGTGTCCACAATATCGTGACATCGTTAGATTCACTTATGTGCAAATACAGGAATCCCTCGATTAATGCGCATTCGTATAATACATTTTTGATTAGTGCGCTAAAATCTTTATATCCCAAAATTCGATTAGTACAGTGTAACCCGGATATGAGAGACCCGGATATAAGAGAAACCCGGATACAAGAGAGATTTTCTCTGGTCCCAAATTAGAGCCTGTGTTAATGTATATAAAATAGAGCAAACCCGGATATAAGAGACTTCTTCTCCAGTCCCGACAACTCTCTTACATCCGGGTGACACTGTATATGCATAAATACTCAACTAATGCGGTAAACCATTCTTTATGTGCCATGTCCTTTTAGGCCGTAGGCGATCATGGCTTTCAACTTCCCTCCATCCCTTTCAGCTCTCAACGCTTTCTTTCCTTCTGTTTCCTCCCTTAGACCACGTTCTGTCATCCACTTGCTTGAGCTCGCCAAGTATGTCACGCGTTGTTATTCCATTGTCTCTTTCCCTCTATTCGACCCGTGAGTTGAAACACCGATTCCCGTACGATCACTGATATTAAGCAACATCGAGCCTGGCCAGTAGCTATATGGATGACCACTTGGGAATAACATTAATACTGTAAGCACGGGTGTACAAGTGGTGTAATGGCTAGTGGCTCGAAATCGTTACTTGTGGAAACGAGTTCCACTTCGAGTTGGGTTTTATTATATTCACTAATATTCAACTCCTCTACTACCAGCTAAGGTTTAGTTATTCAAACTGGTATCCCTAATCCATTATTCACTCAAAAGAAATGTTCAATCTAAAAATATCTTCTGGCTTTAAATAACCTGCAACGGGTTGATAAGCCGTAGAAAAAGAATCAATCAATGAAATACTCATTAGCTACACAGTCTTTTAGATTTATTTACATTATCTGGATAGTTTACTTTATTTTGTTTAACGGCATTTCATCCTCAATGGGTTATTTAATGCCGACAACATTTTTAGGATAGATTCGTATGAATAGAATATGTATTCTTTGGTTTAGATTGGTTTGGTTTATTTTGTTTTACGGCATATCAACCTCAATGGGTTATTTAATGCCGACAACATTTTTAGGATAGATTCGTATGAATAGAATATGTATTCTTTGGTTTAGATTGGTTTGATTTATTTTGTTTTACGGCATACCAATCTCAATGGGTTATTTAATGCCGACAACATTTTTAGGATAGATTTGTATGAATAGAATATGTATTCTTTGGTTTAGATTGGTTTGGTTTATTTTGTTTAACGGCATATCAACCTCAATGGGTTATTTAATGCCGACAACATTTTTAGAATAGATTTGTATGAATAGAATATGTATTCTTTGGTTTAGATTGGTTTGATTTATTTTGTTTTACGGCATATCAACCTCAATGGGTTATTTAATGCCGACAACATTTTTAGGATACATTCGTATGAATAGAATATGTATTCTTTGGTTTAGATTGGTTTGATTTATTTTGTTTTACGGTATATCAACCTCAATGGGTTATTTAATGCTGGCAATATTTTTTTATTGTTGGTAAGATTTTGTTTTATCTAAAATCCGTTTCTGGTAATATATTTATTGTGAGACCGGAACTACCTACACAATAGACTCTTCCATGTCTATATTAAGTATGCGACATTGCACTCTAGACAGAGACACAGAGAGTCACACTGAACGACATACCAGTATGATAGACATATAGTAAACTCCGCTTACACTATCTCTGTAACCTGTTGTTAATATATCTTTTCTTACATCTAATCCGTGTTCCGTGTTTTTACTTCTGTGGTCCCAACTTTGGCCCCACATCAATATTTCCTTCAAAATTGTATTGTTTGTAATAATTTTTTTTCAAAAAATATTGCTGGTAATAGTTAACTATTTGCTCATAGCTGGGACCCTAACAGGTGCTACCACCCCGGGTCAGGGTTAACCTGGTAACACCAGCAATTAAGATGCGATTAATATTTGGTTATATATTTCATAGAGAACCATTTTTACTCTTCACAAGTCTAGCTGATGCTAATCTCCAGGACTGCAACACATTACACCTTCTTGGTCTCACGTTTTCTAACATGGAGGGATTATATTAAATCAGTGTTGAATCTGTTGCTGAAAAGGTTTGTTCACTTTCTCGTCAGAATCAATCTTGGTCATTTATAAATCTACTATTCGTTCGGGAATTGAATATTGCTGTCATATCGTGATTCTCGACAAAATCTAAACAATGGTAAGTAATTTTATCGATCCTGAGCTGACATCACAAAATGATTCACTTTCCCATAGCTATGACGAGGTTTTCCTCTGTGTTTTCTATAAATATTTTTATGGCAAAAATATGCCCATTGAACCCGTATGAACGGGTTCAGTGTCTGCTTACCTCCCCGAAAGAGAATCCGACCTTCAGCTTAGCCTCGTTCGGGTATCTCCCATCCCGAAGGTAGAGAGTTAAACAGAACAGCCGGTCGAGAAAGCGAACGACTGACGATATTCAGTCACCCACCCCCACTGGGGCAGCATGTGGCACAAGGCCGGTTATTTAATGTGGGATATCCAAGCCCGTGGGCTCGGCCCAGAAATATACTCATTGAACCCGTATGCACGGGTTCAGTGTCGGTTGAACTCCCCGAAAGAGACTCCGCCCTTCGGCGTAGCCTCGTTCAGGTTCCTCCCCGCCCGAAGGCAGAGAGTTCAACCGAACAGCCGGTCAAGACTTGAACGACTGACGATATACAGTCACCCACCCCCTCACACTGGGGCAGCATGTGACACAAGGTCGGTTATTTATTGTGGGTTCTTCGAGCTCGTGGGCCCGGCCCCAAAATATGCCCATTGAGCCCGTATTCAGGGTCGGTTTGCCTCCCCGAACGAGACTCCGCCCCTCGGCGTAGCCTCGTTCGGGTTCCTCCCCGCCCGAAGGCAGAGAGTTCAACCGAACAGTCGTTCGAGAAATCGAGCTATTACCGATATTCAGTCATCCCGCCACACACACACACACACTGGGGCAGCATGTTGCACAATGCCGGTTATTTAATGTGGGATATCCGAGCCCGTGGGCTCGGCCCAAAACTAGATCCATTGAACCCGTATAAACGGGCTTAGGGCCGGTTTACCTCCCCGAACGAGACTCCGCCCCTTGGCGTAGCCTACTTCGGGATCCTCCCCACAAGACGGCAGAGAGTTCAACCGAACAGTCGGTTCAAAAGCGAGCGACTGACAATATTCAGTCCCCCCCGCACTGGGGCAACATGTGACACAAGGTCGGTTATTTATTGTGGGTTTTCCGAGCCCGTGGGCTCGGCCCAAAAATATGCCTATTGAATCCGTATAAACGGGCTCAGGGCCGGTTTTACCTCCCCGAAGGAGACTCCGCCTTTCGGCGTAGCCTCCTTCGAGTTCCTCTCCGTCCGTAGACAGAGAGTTGAACCGAACAGTCGCTCAGAAAGTGAGCGACTGACAATATATAGTCTCTCCCGCCCAGTGGGGCAACATGTGACAAAAGGTCGGTTATTTATTGTGGGTTTCCCGAGCCCGTGGGCTCGGCCCAAAAATATGCCCGTTTGAACCCGTATAAACGGGCTCAGGGCCGGTTTTACCTCCCCGAAGGAGACTCCGCCCTTCGGCGTAGCCTCCTTTGGGTTCCTCTCCGTCCGTAGACAGAGAGTTGAACCGAACAGTCGCTCAGAAAGTGAGTGACAGACTCCTTGTCTACTCCTGAGGCGCAGTATTTATTAAGTATTTTTACCAGTGCTCATATTGCAATTTTTTGCTGTTATCATTTTTATTTTTTTTACCAGAGCTCATTTTGTTTTTCTCTGGCACTCCTTATTACTGGTTCCCATATTGTATTCATTTCTATGCTTGATCGGCTGAAGAAGGCCGGAGCGTACAACGGCCGAATCGTTATAATAAATATGGCGACAAAGATGAGGACAATAGTTCGAATAATGTAAATAATGTACATAATACCTCATCTCGGAAATATAGGCAGTTAAGACATGCGTTAA